TGTCTCTCCTATCACATCAGCCTCCTCTCTTATCCTGGCACCTTGGTTTACTTTTGCGCTGTCTCCCCGCCTGCCCGCAGGCAGCAGGAGGGCAGCGTGGGGAGCTTGGCGCCTGGCGGCAGTCAGGCCCTGGCACTCACGCTTCCTCCCCCGGGGTTTCCCCACAGGTTTTCGGCTTCTTCAAGGGCATGTCCTTCCCCCTGGCCAGCATCGCAGTTTATAACTCCGTGGTGTTTGGGGTCTTCAGTAACACACAGAGGTTCCTCAGCCGGCACCAGTGCAGGGAGCCCGAGACCGATCCGCCCCACACGCTGCCAGACCTGCTTCTGGCCAGCATGGTGGCTGGCGTGGTCTCTGTTGGGCTGGGCGCACCTGTGGACCTCGTCAAGATCCGGCTGCAGATGCAAACACAGCCATTTCGGGAAGGTAAGAGGCCAGGGGAGGGCGCCTGTGCCTGGGCCCCATGACCCTCTCCTGGTTTGCAGGGTCTGCGGTGTGGTTGTGAACATCCTTTGTATTGAGCAGGGCATCTATGTGGTCACGTAATCGTCTGTGATTATTGTTACTTTATCTAGAATATTGACTCTCATTGATTAGGTATTTCCCGGGCACCTGCTAAGAGCTTTGCATATGTCCTCTTAATTCGTCCTTACAACCATTCTGTGAGATAGATGCTGTCACTATTTCCAGAGTTGGAAATTGAGACTCCCAGAGATTCAGATACTAATTCAGGACACACAGTCAGTGACCAGTGAGTGAGGACCAGCTCCCTAATTTGCAGAACCCAGTGAAAAATGAAAATGTGGAATCCATGTTCAAAAATTATTAAGCATTTTAAAAGGGCAGCAGCAGAGCATTAAACAAGTGTGGGCAGGACTCAAAGCCACACCTGGCCCACGCACCAGGGAGTGTGGCCTCACACCTGGACTGGCGGGTCCCAGGGGCGTGGAGGGGCCCCATCCTCTCCTTGCCCTTGACACCCCAATTGCAGCTCCATTTCTTGGTGTGCTATGCAGCACCCCCACACCCCAAGCTACACCTGTCTTTTCCTCCTTGCTGGGAAGGAGGTTTCTGTGTCTCCTCCTGGGAATGGTTCTGATGAAGGAGGAGCAAAGGAACCAGAAGGCACTTCTTATGCAGAGTAGAAAGTGCCAGCTCTAGAAGATGAGCTGGGGGTCTTAGTAGACAAATTTCGGCACCTTGGAGTTTGGTTCTTGGCTCTAATTTCACTGTCTCCTCGAGGAAGATCCGGCCCCTCCCTGGGCCTCAGTTTCCTTTTCCGTAGAGAAAGGGCTGGATCCAAGGTGCTTTCAATCACCTCAGAGATCCCATCGGGGCTAACAGCTCTTGTGGATAAGACCCCTCTCTCTGGTAGCCTTCTGCGTGTGACCCAGAGGCCGAGTCAGCTGTGCCCTGCAGCTGGAGCCCTGAGAGCCCACTCAGGAGCATCCCAGCCCAGCGCCTCAACTCAGCCTGCACTTTCCGCCCGGCATGGGAGGGTGTCCAGGACAGGCCTGCACGTGCTCTGAGAGTGATGCTGATCCTTCCCGCTGGGGCATGAGGAGAGCCTGGGACCCTGAGGAGGTGGGGCACACCTGCTGGACACTCAGTGCCCCAAGGCCCATGGTCGTGTCAGCATGAGGGGAAGTACAAGACAACAAATGGGCTGGCTCATCCAGAGGGTCACAGAGCATAGCCCCATGGGGCCCCCCAGGGAGACACAGAGCAGGGGTGTCCCCACCTCCATCCACTAGACACACCGTGTCACATCTTGCTACAATTTAGTTTGATCAAAGGACTGTACCTCTGAGAAATGTTTGAGGCTTGCTGATCTGGTCCTATCCTAGAGGCAAAAGCAAAGACATAGAAGAATGAAGGGCATTGTGAGCAGGTTTAGAACCCGGGAGTCCGGGCCCCCAGGCTGGCCTTCTGCTCTGTCCTGTCTCCTTCAGAAAAGCTTGTGTTAGTCCTTGGTATAGAGGAAACCTCTCCATAAGCCTTAAAACTCTTTAGGAACCAGATGTTAGAAGAGGCTCAGTGATGAGGCTCCTCAGCTTTTGGGGGCAGCCCTGCTGCCTTCCCAACCTGGGCTCCTTGTTTCTGGAAGGGGAGGAAATAGGGGCAGGTACACATATATGTGGGGGGTGCAGGGGTGCGTAGCCAGCCCAGACACCAGGGGAGATGATTCTCCAATAATGCCTTCCTTCAGGAAGCTTGGGATATTTCAAGGCAAATTGATTGGCGAGCTTTCTTGACAGTGTTTGGTTCCATCCTCTGTCCTGCCCTCACCTACCCGCACCTGTCCTGTGGAGGGTACTAGAATGGGGGCTGACTTGGCAGGCCAAAATCTGAGCTACAGGGGTCTAGAAGCCTCTGGAGACTGGAGGAAAGTTGAGGGGCAGCCAGCTAAAGGCCAAAGCCAAGAAAGGCCCCAAAGCTGGGTATGCAGGACCCTCAATTTTAGGGAGCTGAGCAGCCACCGTTAGCAGCTGCCACAGTTGTTAAGTGCTCACTGTGGGCCTGACACTGTGTTAAGTGCTGGATGCTCACCGTCTCATTCGATACCCATCATGACAGTGTGAGGCCGGTATGACGGTTGGCCCTGTTCATTTACCCAACATGCAAGTTCTGCACCTGCTGTATGCCAGGCACGGGGTTAGGTGATGGGGATACAGCGGTGAGCAACAAACGGTACTGTCCCTCTTGTAATGTTCTGTCCAGCAGACAGGCAGACAGGAATTGGGCCACTTTAAACATGGTGGGAGGGAGGGGGTGGGACGGGCTCTCAGGCAGGCTGGGGCGTCAGAAAGGGCTTCGGAGCGGTGGTGGGAGGGTTGGAAGGAGTGTCTAGAGTTCAGGACCATACACACCTGATCAGGGCAGCACTGAGTGTCACCCATGCCTGCTTGCCCAGGGCAGAGCCCATCTGGGGTGGGACTCTCCAGAACTGCCCATCCAGGAAGTCTGGACCCTTCTAGAGCCTTGCCCCCTGTATAAGCCCTCTGAGCAGTGAGAATACGGGGACCTGTGTGCCCTCCCTGTGCCTCTCCACCATAGGAGGCGTCGACAGCATCTCAGGAGGGATGTGATCCCCTGACCCCACTCCTGCACGGGGGGTGGGGTGGGGAGGAGGATCCTGCCCGGGACCTCAGGTTATCAGTTCATCCGTGTGCCAGAAGAAACCAGTTTTCGTAACAAAACCCTTTGAGGCGGCAACAGAAAATGCGCCTGTTTGTTCTGTCCTTCCCCATGTAGCAAAAACTGGCTTTTTGGGAGCTCAGGAAAGGCTCTTAATAAGAGGCCAAGGAGGGTCCTGCAGGCAAATATTTCTCAGCCCCACAAAGCTCTAAGTCATTAGCTCCTGGTCACAAGGCTTAGTGTTAGCACAAAGACTAAGCCACTTTACCGAGTGGGTGGAGAGAAGGTAGAAATTAAGATCGGAGCGTCCTCCTCAGGTGTGCCCCTCAAGCCGCTGATCTGGGCTCAGCCAGACCTGTCACAGCAGTGGGGGCTGAGATGCCAGTATTTACTGAGCCCTTAAGTGCCAGGCACTGTGCTGAGAGCTTTGTGTGCGTTTAATCTTAACAACCCAATTCCTAGACAATTACAGAGGGGAGACTGAGGCACAGAGAGGTTCCATACCTGCCTGAGGTCACTCCCCTAGTGGGAGGTGGTGCTGGGATGCGGACCCAGGCAGCCTGACTCTGAGTCCATCGGTGCTGTTTCTGCTTCTGCCCCCAGGATTTTGCAGAACCTGAGGCTACGGCAACTCTGGTAACATCTGGGCCTTTGCACAAAACCAGCTTCAAACTTTAGGGAGGGATGGGGGCTGGGAGCCTGTCTCCAAAATGACATTGTTCAACTAATAGGCACAGCTCATGGGTTCTGGGGGTGGGTCTGAGTTCTGTGGCTTTGGCAGCTCCTTCACACATGGTCCACTCTTCCTGAACCCCCACGCCTGATCGAAAGAAGAGCTTTGGTGGCTTCAGATGCTGGGCAGGATCGGCTACTGGGGACGGAGCAGGGGAGGCAGGCAGTATGTCTCCAGACCGTACTTTCTGCTGGGAACCTTTTCAGAATATGAGGAAGGATGTGGTTTCTTTTTACTCGTTCTTCAGGAACCTTCTAGGACAGAGGCAGAAAACTCAGGCTCGCTGGGACCAGGGAGGTGACAGAAGTGAGCAGAGGTGCCTGGAAAATGTAGCTTCTTCTACTCTTTTGACACACACACCCCTCCTGGCCTATGTTTCATTTTCCCTCTTTTCACTGAAACAGTAACACAGAACATATTTCACCTTCCACATCATTCTGCTGTTAGAAAAGCAGCAGTCCAAGCGCATGTGTCAGCTTGGGTGCCTGGGAGGCAGCCGGGAGTGTTGGGCCCACGTCCTATCTGAGGGGCTGGCTCTGACTCTGCTCCAGCTGACTGTTGCCACGTGGCCTGGATCTTCTGATTTTTAAGAAAAGACAGAAAGCAAGATTTTTCTGTGGGGTCTTTCCATTGGGAATTGTCAGATAATTCAATTAAAAACAAAGCCAAACACAACCGAACCAGCATGACACTGTGCAGCCCAAAGCACAGTGTGGCCTGGACGGCGTTGCGTCGGGGCCGGCTGCAAGCTTGTGCTCTCTGCTCAGGGTCAGGCCCACTCTGTGTGGTGACTGGGCTGAGGTAGGCACTTCCGGGCAGACGTGAGCTGGGCTTGTGGGATTGCTTCTGGCTGTGGCTTTCCTCCAGAATTGCCAGTTCACTTCCTGAGCGGTGACAGTGAGCCGTAAGCCAGAAGCCGGGTGCCAGAAACCTCTGGCTTTTCTGCTCTGGAATATTGACAGGTAGACTGGCAGGTCAAGGTAAGACCTCACCTGATCTGGTTGGGGGATTTGCAAATGTAAAGTCAGTGAGTTCATCCTGATTATCTGTTCATGGTGATCCATGGTTGAAAATGTACAAAATATGGAACACTGTCTATAGAGGGAGAAAATGCCCATCCACCCAGATACAGTCGCTGTTAACACATTAACATTTTTCCTTTTCTATGTACATGGATTAAATATTTTAGGAGATTGTACTTATATAGAGAGTTTCATATCCTGTTTCTAACTCAACATAATAGAAACATTTTTGTTATTAAAATAGCATATAAAATAATTTTATGGATGGATAATACTTGTAAAAGATGTACAGTATTCCATCAAATACACATGTGCACACACACACATTCAGAGGGACGATATAGTGTTGTAAGAATTCAGTTTCTGGAGTTAGACTACCTGCTTCTAATCCTACCTCTACCAGTGTCAAGAGACTTAGGACAAACCTAACATGACCAAGCCTCAGTTTACTCATCTGCAAAGCAGATATAGCAGTAGTAGCAACTTCATACTTGGGATGGCACGGGATGATGAATTACACGTGAAGATCTTAG